TAGGCCCTTTCTAGCTGGGAATAAAACATCCGAAGTTCACAAGTACATACATCTTAAGAGGAAGTATGAGTGTTATAGGTTTGGGTTCCAAAGCCGTTTCTAACATGCTTATAAAACCATGAAATAGAACATAGTCATTCCATGAAAAATAAATTGAGGAGACAGAGTAACAGTTTTAGAAACTGAGGGTCCCAAACTGTGCCTTAATAAAGTGAATTAGACTTTTCCCCCCTTTTCATTTAATTTACATATACCTGGCATATTTAATTTTGCAAAAACGCTTAAGTATTATACATCTTAGTGCCATCTTTTTTGCCCTACCATAGAGAGCAACCTCTGAGGAAGAGCATTGCTTGCCCTTTATTGCGTTATCGTTAAAGAAAATTCGGTTTTGTTGTTTCCCTATTTTGTTAAAATATAATTTTTCAGGCCTTCTTTGTCTTAAAACGCTCAATAATAAAATGGAAAATGCAAGTCTACTAATTTACAAGTACTAGCAAGAAGGCATCTTAGAGAAAAATTTTAAGATGTCTCTTCATGCCCTTGCAGCTGGAAAGAGAGACACTATTCTTCATAAAACTAAACTAAGAAGGTGGGAAAATAATAAAGGCAATTAAGAGCACATTCATCATATGTGAATGAGGATGGCAAAGCTCTTAATTCATTTTTGTTAATTTCCTATGGACACAAAAATATGTTCTCTCTTCTAGGGATATAAGTTTCTGTATAACTCTTAAATCAAGATTTTTATACTATTCAATTTCTGTAGGACTTTATCTTTTGTCCCCTAGATGTAACCTTGACACAAATGTATTGAATTTTCCCACAGGACTGTATTTAACAAGTTCTCAGATTTATAAGTTTTTGCCCTATGTATTTAGCAGGCTGGATACTATTATACTTCCTCATAAATTGTGCCTTTTTTCAATGTATAAAATCCATCTCTGAGTCTGACCTTTCAATTAGTTTTCTGCAATTTCTGTTTGTTGTTTGCTTGGCAGCTTATCGACCAGCCTCACAGGTGTTTCTGGTGAACAGCATATGTCTGGATTTTGTTTGCTTGACCCAGTGTGTCTCTGCCTTTATATAAGAAAATTCAGTCCATTCACCTTTAGCACGTGGACTGAAAATTTATTGCATTCTTTATGTTACTTTGGGTTCATTATTTTACATCATGGATTTCTGTTTCCTTTCCCATAATTTTTCTGACTTATCTCCATCTTTAGTTTATTTGTTATTTGTTTAGAGTCCTTTCTTGAACTGTTTCTTCAGATGGAAGAGACCTGGATGATACAGACTCTGAATTCTTGCAAATCCTGAAATATTTATTTCATGAGGACAGGTGAGTATATTTTGGCTGATGGATTGCAGCCTCTTTATTTTACCAGTTAATAGCCTCTGTTTTCTAGTTTCCAACATTACAAATGAGAAGTCTAATGTTATTTTTCTTTTTAGATAACTTGCCTTTTCTGCCTGAAAGCTTATGAGTTTTCTTTTTTTTTTCTTAGCATGTAGGAATGACATCTGTATATGCCCAGTGTAAATCTTTACTAATTAATCCAGACTGGAACATAGTGAGTTCTTTAGATCTAGAGACTCAAGCCTTTAAAATTTTTTTCAGCCCAGAAAATTTTTCCATTATTTTGTTATTTATTTTTTCACTTCTATCCACTCCTTTTTTCCTTCTGGAACTTCTGTGTCTGCGTATTAGGTCTCAGAGATCTATCCTTTAAACCTATTATCTTTTTTTTTTTTCTTTATGATTCCTATCTCTTTCTTTTCCTCTATGCTTTGGGGTATTTCTTTAAGTTATCTAGGCTACTTCTTGGGTCTCAAAAGTGACCATTTCAATTCACTTGCTAAATTGATGAATTAGGAAGATATAGGTAGATAGAGATTTACATATTTTTAAATTTAAATTTCTATTTTAAAAAAGTATGTATATATATATACACACACATACATATATGTGTATTGCATATTTGTTTTGTTTTGTCATTTCATTGAGGTTTAAGTCTGGTTAATGGATTATTTTAAGTGGTAATAGTCCCATAGATAGGGGAAGACAAAGAGGCAAGGAAGCCTTTACTGCAGCTGGCTGTTGAGTAAGAAGCATGAATCCTGCCATTTTCTTACTGAGGCACCTGGATAAAACCCTCTTGCTTTCTTTCCTTTTTTTTTTTTTTTTAAAGATTTTATGTATTTATTCGAGAGAGAATGAGAGCATGAGATGGGGTTGGGTCAGAGGGAGAAGCACACTCCCCGCTGAGCAGGGAGACAGATGCAGGACTCCATCCCAGGACTCCAGGATCATGACCTGAGCCAAAGGCAGTTGCTTGACCCACTGAGCCACTCAGGCACCCCCAAACCCTCTTGCTTCCTAGTCTACTTAAAATCTCTCAGACTCAGCACAGGAGACAGTCAGCTTCAGCTTCTTCTGGGCCTTCTTCAAAGAACCCCAGTAAATTTATACAGATCTCCTAAGGGGTCCACAGACCTAAGGTCTAGGCTCTTTTCAAGAAACCCCACTTTCAAGTCTGCACACCTAGTCTCTGATGTTGTTCTCCACATTCTTATCTAGCCCATAAAGAAGGGGATGGAGAGAGATCCAACATCAGGTTTCTAAACCAGTGCTCTGAACTCACGTTTCTCTCCATAAGTCCCAGTTCTCTGGTTTAGGAGAAGCAGACATCAGAATAGGGAATAGAAGCGCTCATCACAAATCTCCTTCATGATCCACATCTAACTTTAGTAGAGAGCTTGCTCTTCTCTGTGAATGACCTTATGAGATGGGAGACCCATTCACTTTCTTATATATGAAAAAGCCCAATGGAGAAGACATGTGTCTGGAATGAAAGGTCTTAAGGATTCCAGTTGTTTGAAACAAAACTCTGGTTTCACTTCCCTCTCAAAATAAGTTCAAAAAAGCTCAAAATCCAGGAGACCCAGTCACACCTCTGAGATCCTCTGATACACAATAGTTTAGTCTCAAAGCACATTTAAAAAATGAGACTATAGGGGCATCTGGGTGGTACAGTGGGTTAAGTGTCTGACTCTTGGCTTGGCTCAGGTCATGATCTCAGGGTTGTAAGATCGAGCCCCATGTACAGGCCCACCTCAAGCCCCACATCAGGCTCTGCACTCAGTGCAGAGTCTGCTTGAGATTCTCTCTCCCTCTGCCCCTCCTGCTCATGATCTCTGTAAAATGTGTGCATTCAGGATCTTAACTAGAACTATTTAACCATATTAAAATCTTCATCTTACAGATGAGAAAACTGGGAGCAGAAGATTAAATAACTTGCCCCAAATCACTTAATGGGTAACACAAGGGGTTTTAAAGTCAGTTCTGTTAGACAGCAAAACCCCAGCCTTTAAACACTGCCATATAGACTCTGAATGTGTAAGCCAGGGAAGGGTCCACACAATGATTTTCAAATGATCTTGGGAGTCCTAGAAATTCAGTGTTCATTTCCTGGTGGAGGCCAGAGGGGTAGGCCCTGGACCACCTACTTCTGCTAAACTGCAAACATAGTTAACATATATAACTTCCTATGTGCCAGGGACCAGTTTAAGCATTTTGAGGACATAAACTCAGTTAATTCTAACAAGTCTGTAAAATAGTTACTATTATTGTGCCTATTTTTAAAAAGATTTTTTATTTGGGCGCCTGGGTGGCTCAGTTGGTTAAGCGACTGCCTTCGGCTCAGGTCATGATCCTGGAGTCCCGGGATCGAGTCCCACATCGGGTTCCCTGCTCAGCGGGGAGTCTGCTTCTCCCTCTGACCCTCCCCCCTCTCATGCTCTCTGTCTCTCATTCTCTCTCTCGCAAATAAATAAAATCTTAAAGAAAAAAAAAAAGAAAGGCTATTTGCCTTTTAAAAAGATTTTTTATTTTATTTATTTGACAGAGAGAGACACAGCGAGAGAAGGAACACAAGCAGGGGGAGTGGGAGAGGGAGAGGGAGAAGCAGGCTTCCTGCTGAAAAGGGAGCCCAATTTGGGGCTCGATCCCAGGACCCCAGGATCATGACCGAAGGCAGACGCTTAACGACTGAGCCACCCAGGCGCCCCTATTGCGCCTATTTTAAAGATGACACAAAAAGATTGTCATTTAGCCAAGATCACATCATGAGTGGGTGGTATTGTCAGAATAGAATCCAAGGAGTCCCTTGTTTTTAAAGACTACCCTAAAAAGCATTCCTTACCTAATAGTTTAATACTACTGATCCAGCCTAAGTTTGAGGAGAAGTGCTTTAAGGAAATGAAAACTTTTCCTAAGGGAACATTGAACAAGATAATAAAAGAGCAAGTAGTCGGATCTCTTTCTGGGGCTCTTTCCCATGGCTCCGCCTCGGTCCCACCTTGTCTTTCTCCTCTCTGCCTGGAGTCTCCAGAAAAGTCCAGGACTTGGCAAGAAAAGAGGGAGGAGGAAAGCGCGACCCCGCCACCGTGTCAGCAGGAGCCAAGCGGGTCCCCGGCAACAGCAACCTGTAATTTGAAAGGTCCTCTTCGCGGCTGCGCGACTCCAACCTCGAGTTTAGGGACATTGCTAGGGCCAGAGCTAGTTGGGTGTCTATTCCGCCGAGGGCGCGGGACAGCAGGTGCAACCAACCCGCGCTCCCAAAGGCGAAGTGACAGCAGTTGGTTTCCCCAGATTCCTATTGGGGGGTTCCCCACTTGCGGGTTCTGAGAGTCCCAGAATTCTTCGAGGTCAGCCACTCATGGCTCAGAATCCCCAGCCCCGCCCCCTTCTCAGGGGCCCTAAAAGCTCCCAGAACAGTCCTATTTCTTTAGCATTGGGGGAGACTGGACCCCAGCCTCTGTTCAGAGCGCAGAGAGCACAGGTCTTCTGCCCACGAACGCCGGTGGCTGAGAGCCGGACTGCGCCCCGAACCTTCTGGCCAATCAGGAGCCACGTTCTCAAGCGCTCCTTTCCCGCCCCGCCCCTCCCGTCTCCATGGAAACGCTCCGAGTGTCTACTCAGAGGCCTCGGGCTTCCATTTCGGTCCAGCGGGGCTGCGGCCATTGTTTGTGTAGACCGACTATTTTGGCCGGTCCCGTCCCCCTCAGAGGCTCCATAAGTGACGCGGACTCTCGGGAGCACCGAGCCAGAAGCGGACAAGGGCGGGGAGAGCTGTGGCTGAAGAAAGAGTGGCAGAAAAGGGAGGGTGAGGGGCCGAGAATTGGCTCCGGCTTAGAAATCCCGAAGACACCAGTGTAGGTGGGTCCTTCACAGCCGCCCTCCTCAAGTTAAAACCGAATATGGGGAAGGGGAGAGGAGGACAGAGGCAGCTTAGACCCTGGAGCCGGGGTGCTCGGGGTTGGAAAGTGTTCGGGTGGAGCTCGGATCGGGGGGTCTGGACGTGGAACGGAGGCCGCGCGGATCCGTGGCCTTGACGCGGGCAGATCCCACTCCTTGAGAACCGTTTGGGTGTCTGAATCCAGAAACACTCGGGCAGCCCGTGGCGCACTGGGGGAGCCCAAACCTGTGCTGCTCTTGAAATGGCCATGAATCGGCCCCCCCCCCCCCCCACCCCGCCTCGCTAGGGAAAGAGGGCTCTTAACTGTTTATCATTTTCCCCAGGGACTTGTGATCACCAAGGCAGGACCAGGGTAGCAAAGGCTCATGTCCCCATTTTACAGGTGAGGAAAGTGAGGCCCTAGGAGGTCTAGAAGTTTGGTCATTTTCAAAGTTCTACAAGTGGTTAGTGATAGACCTGAGACTGATCAGGTCCTGGGAACGCTAGATCTGGCATCCTTTAAGATTCTAGGTACTCTGATAATAAATCCAGTATTTCTGTTGTAATAAGTACAGGAGAGCAATGGAATTCTCTTTCTACTTTATTGATTGAACAAGAAAAATACTTTTAGAAAAAAACTGTCGTATTTCTAGTTTATTATTCTTGTTAATAATTAACTAAGAAAGCTTTGAGACTCAGGTTAAATTACATAGAGAGCATCTGCATCCCTGGAGGGACTGTGAGATCAAATTCTGTTTTCATGCCCAAACTAGAATGGTACCTTTGAAGTTTTTAAAGGTTCAGAAATAAAGTCCTGGGTGCCAGTTCTCACAACTCTCCTATCTGGCCCTTGAAATGGAACAGAAATGTTCTTGGGTTCTTTCTGGCCTCTAAGAGGTTTGGGGGGGGTCACACCCAGTTAGTGCATGGGGATCGTAGTGAGTTTGGGAATTGCAAGGCATGCTCAATCTTTCATTCCTCCTTTCTTCTCCCTCAGCTCAGACTCCTCAAAACTCCACCCTTGCCCAAAAGAGAAGCATAAACGAGGAAGGAATGCTCACTCTTTTCCTCATAGACTGATCCCAGGTGAGTAGGATTGTCTTTTCTCATTTATATAAATGCCCCTGAATTCTCCACAGGTGGTGGGAGTAAGAAGCAGCGGCAATGGGGATGGATGGACCAGATAGAATAGAAAATGTTCCTCACTTGACTGAGAAGCTTCCAAGCCTCCTATGTAGCATTTCTCTGCCTCCCATCCAGTGTCTTTTTCCAACATTTACTCATTTATTCAGCCATCATCCAGGTCTGTTGTATAATATTCTTGATGCTCTGAGGTAAGGAAATATGTAAGAATGGTCTTTTCTTAACATGGGGGAGATAAGCCATATGAGGTTAATAATAATGTCTCAAGTTATACATTAAACAGTGTCAGAATGAGTGGCACTTAAAAGACAGAAACAGAAGCTCAGGTTTGAAAAATCATCATGAACAGGAAGATATTATTCTAGACAGGAAGATAATCATTTAGTCTCAGGCAGAAATTGAGGGGAGAATAAGAAAACTGAGCTAGTAACTGGAGAGTGTTTAAGTATGCATACATGAGGTGAGGCCACATTGTGGAAGGCTATTCATGTTTAATTGGTTACTTATTATTGTGCACCACTCAGTCCTCTGCACTTCAGAGGCAGCCATTACTGATATTTGGATCTATTTATTTACAGTCTTTTATCTAATATTTGATACATACATAATCTGTACAGACATTTATACATATATATACATATATGTACACATACATATAACTGTAGACACAAAGGTAATCTAACATACATGTATGTAGAGAGATTAGTATATATAAAAAAATTTAACATGATAAATATGTTCCATGAGGGCAGAGAATATTTCCAGTACATAGAACTATGCCTAGGGACGCCTGGGTGGCTCAGTTGGTTAAGCGGCTGCCTTCGGCCCGGGTCATGATCCCAGAGTCCTGGGATTGAGTCCCGCATCAGGCTCCTTGCTCAGCGGGGAGCCTGCTTCTCCCTCTCTCTCCCTCTGCTTGTGCTCTCTCTGTCAAATAAATAAAATCTTAAAAAAAAAAAAAAACTATGCCTAGCATGTAGTAAGCCCTCATTGAATATTTGTTGGATGTATGGATAGCTGTTATATATATAATTTTTTCATTGTTAAATATATATTATATATAAATATAATTAACATTTTTTCTAAATATTTTTTGGTAGCCTGAGTTTTAGTGACTATATAATATTACATTCCAAGTATGTATCATTCCATCCCAGATATATGGGCTTTATTCTAGGTATATATGTTCCCTTCCAGCCATATGTACTTTATTTAAATCATTTTGGGGGAAAAACGTAAGTAATTCTCAATATTTTGCTGTCATAAAATTTTTCTATTAAATATTTTTATACATAATTTATTTAGTGTATCTCTTTATAACCTCAAGATATGCTCTGAGAAACAGGATAACAGTAAAGGAATAAAAACATGTTTTAGACTTTTGAAAAACTTAAGTTATTTTTTTAGAAATACATGAATTAACTTTTTTTTTTTTAAAGATTTTATTTATTTATTTGACAGAGAGAGACACAGCAAGAGAGGGAACACAAGCAGGGGGAGTGGTAGAGGGAGAAGCAGGTCTCCCGCGGAGCAGGGAGCCCAATGCGGGGCTCGATCCCAGGACCCTGGGATCATGACCTGAGCCAAAGGCAGACGCTTAACGACTGAGCCACCCAGGCACCCATGCATGAATTAACTTTTATAACCATTTGAGGAAAGATATTATCTTTCTGAACCTTTACCAGCTTTGAGTATTAAGATTTTGCTTTGAATTGCATCCCTTTAATCTTTAGTAAGGTTGACCATTTTTTACATACATTTACTGGTCATTTGCATTCCTTCTTTGACATACGTAATGTATGCCTCTTGACATGCATTACTTTTTTTCCTACTAAATTTTCTGTTTGTATTTGATAAAAGATATTCTTTGTATGTAAAAGATATAAACCATTTGTTAAAGGCTCTATTTCTCCAATTGTTTGCCTTTTGCTTTTAAGGACTTCTTTGTTTATAGGAGTTTCACATTTGTATAAAGTGAAATCTTATTTCTTTTTATTTATATAGTATTATGCTTTGAGAGCTCTTCTTCACCCCCAAATACAATACATAATTACTTTTGTTTTTCTCAACTGTTTTTTATAGTTTCAGGTATTTTAAAAGTTAACTCTGAAACCTGTCAGGTATTTATTTTGGTGTGAGAAATGACAGAACTTAAACATTTTTCCTCCCACTTATTTTTTTCTAGTAACATTTACTTTTTCCATTGATTGTGGTGCTACCTTTTTATATGCCAAATTACTAAATTTTTTACATAAACATACACATATACAAATGTACACACAGACCACTTTAGGGGTTGTCCTGTTTCATGGACCCATCTCTCAGTTCTTATACTGCTATCCAAGTGTATTTAATTTTGTTCCTTTATATGTAGTATGCTTAATGGGCAAAACAGAGGAATTTAGCCTTTCTTTTTCCACATTTAGGGATAAAGAAAAGGAAGATGCCTCATTTTAGAAAAGAAGTAAAAGTTTCTTATAATAAGTTTTAGATATTGAATATATTAACTTTTCAGTATTTTTTTTAGTATTGATTATTGGTCAAGATACAGGCTCTGGACCCATTATCTAAGATTGTTTCATGCCTCTACCACTTCTGAGTTATGTGAAATAGATTGCATTACTTAACCAGTTTCTCAGCTCTCAAGTGGGGAAATAGAACTTACTAGGGTTAAGATGTAAACATGTAAAAACCAGCACAGCCTGACAAACAGAATCACTAACAATGGTTACTATTATGTTAGCTATTGTTTAAAATATAATGCATATCTGATACAACTCTCTCTAGTCACTAAGACATAAGAATTGAGGCAGGGAATCTAGCCTTTTTTTTTTTTTTTTTGCTAAAGGCTAGTCAGATGATCCAGCATCATTAATTATATAAGCCATCTTATCCACACAAATTTGATATTACCTTTACCATGTTTAGAATTTACTGCTATATTTAGGTCCATTTCCAGATTTCTATTGATCTTCTCTATTCCTGTGTCAACCTCATGGTGTTATAATTAGAGCTACAGAGTTTTAATATACCATGGGGTTAGTCTCCTCTCATTATTTCTTTTTAACACTTTTCCTTTTCCTTTTCCTCACAAAAGTACTTGAAAATCAGTTTCTCAGACCCTCCCCCAAACCTATTGTATCACTGAAAATGTAGATAAGTTTAGTGATAACAAAATTATGTTTATTTCTCCTACCTAAGATTGAAGAGTGTTTTCTAAATTCAAAAGCTACATTTATCTAGGTTCTAAGTATTTTGTTAAGCTTGTAGGAATTTTTATATTTATTTGAGAGAGAGACAGACAGAGTACAAGGAGGGGGAGAGGCAGAGGGAGAGGGAGAAACAGACTCCCCGCTGAGCTGGGAGCCCAACATGGTTCTGGGCTCCATCCCAGGACCTGGAGATCATGACCTGAGCTGAAGGCAGACGTTCAACAAATCTGAACCACCCAGGCGCCCTGGGATTTATATTTTTTAATTGCTATTGTAAATGTCATTTTAAAAAAATTTATTTTTATTTATTTGAGAGAGAGAGAGCAAGCAATGGGTAGGGGCAGAGAGAAAAGCAGGATCCCGCTGAGCAGGGATCCTGATGCAGGGCTCTATCCCAGGATCCTGAGATCATGACCTGAGCCAAAGGCAGCCGTTTAACTCCGACTGAGCCACCCAGGCGCCCCCATAAATGTCATTTTAAAAACACCTTTTAAAAGCGGCGCTTGGGTGGCTCAGTCGGTTAAAATACCTTTTAATGATTATGTCTGAACTTTCTAAATTATATAATTGTATTTTACATGGTTAACTAATTTGAACTTGTATTGTGATGCATTACATGCATACAAAAGAATATACTAAAATGTTTTATATAGACATGTAGACTATCAATATTTTTAAAAGTCCCCCTACTGACCCCACAATTTCATTCCTTCCTTTTCCTAAAGAGGCAACTGCTATCTTAAATGTTGTGTTTATTCCTTAAATGGAATCACTGTCTATATTCTTCTGTGATTTGTTTCTTTAGTATAATGTTAATTTTTACAGTGCATCCTTGTTGATTTACGTAGCTATAGCTTTTTTCACTGCTGTGTACTGTTTCACAAAATGACAACTTACTTATCCATCCTCCTGTTGTTGGGCCTTTTGTATTGCTTCTAGTTTTTTGCTATTACAGCAGTTATACTGAAAATGTTGTACATATCTTCTGGTATGTATGTGTAAGTTTCTCTAGGGTACAAACCTAGTATTAAAATTTCTGGGACATTGACTTTCCTTATAATTACTAATGATTTTCAGTTGATTTTCTTGGGTTTCCTACATACAACTATATCCTTCATAATTGTCTGCTTGTATTGTCAAGTGCTTTCATTAGTGGTTTAAAAATAATGAATCTGCAGTATCTTTAAAGGTTGTTTCCAGTGTTAATGGGAATGCTTTTAATGTTTTACTTTTGGATATGAGATATATTTGCATGTCTTCATTTTTGTTTTGCTAACTTGCTTTGTTTGTAGTTTTAAATGAAGGACCCATGTTGCATTTTAAGAAGGACCTTTTTGGCACTGATTAAAATATATGACTTTTTTTTTTCTTTTTCTTTTTTTATTGTTATATTAATCACCATATATTACATCATTAGTTTTTGATGAAGTGTTCCATGATTCATTGTTTGTGCATAACACCCAGTGCTCCATGCAGAACATGCCCCCTTGAATACCCATCACCAGACTAACCCATCCCCCCACTCTCCTCCCCTCTAGAACCCTCAGTTTGTTTTTCAGAGTCCATCGTCTCTCATGGTTCGTCTCCCCCAATATATGACTTTTCTTATTTGACATTATTATGACAGTTAGAGTTAATAGATTTCTTCCTTTGGATCTTTCTTTACCGTTTGGAATAAACCACCACTCCATCATGCTATAACATGCTTTGGTATTATAGCAGATTGCATTT